GGAGGGGGAGGAGGAGGAGGAGGAGGGCGACGAGGACGACGAGGAAGGGGAGGAGGAGGAGGAGGAGGAGGAGGAGTGGGAGGAGGAGGACGAGGGCCACGAGGTAGGGGAGGAGGAGGAGGACGAGCGGGAGGAGAGGAGAAGCATGCAGAGGAGGCAGTGAGGAGGATGAAGGGGAGGTCGAGGCCGGTGATACTCACCGGGCGATGGCGGCAGCTCCTCCCTCACAAGGCAGCATGGCAGCACGGCAGCACTTCAGCACGGGGCGGCACTTGAGAACGGCGGCAGCTCCTCCTTGAAATGGCAACGGCACTCCTCGCTGGAATGGCAGTGGCCGACCAGAAACGTACCCAACAGGCCCAGCCAAGCCCACCCACACACAATACAAAGTACTACAAACAGGTTTCAAAAATTTGAAACCTCACAGTCCGGCCTTGAGCGTGGGCCAATTTTTTTTTTTTTGGCCTTGGCATCAATTTTGGCGGGGGGCCTCCAATGTGCCGTTTCGACCCCCGCCTTTTTTTTTGGGGGGGGGGGGGGGGGTTCGGGCTGTTCCCCGCACACCTCGTGCGCTGCACGGGAACGGTCGGGCGCGTGCGCGGAACGTAGGGAAACTCGCGCACGACGTGAGCTTGCAAGTTTGACATTGGCTCATTACTTAATTGCATTGCTCTATTTGGATGGATTCTCGGTGCAATTGTACTCTCTGCTTGTACACGACTGCTCAAACATCTGTGTGATTTCACAACTTTGTTTTCTGTATATCGTCCACTGTCATATTCCTTGCATTGATGAACAGGTAACAAATTCAAAACTTTTGCAGGGCACACACCTCTGAGGCTGACGAGTAGAAAATTCAGCATCCTAATGACAGACACAGCAGTGTGCTTTCCGTCACCCTCTCTCTCTCTCTCTCTCTCTCTCCCCCCTCGGCCCTCTTTCTATCCCTACCCTTGTCCTTGTGCTGCTTTGTAGCCCCTGCTGGCGTCCACTTATATATTGTCGAATATGAAAGGGGAKAGGGGGGGGGGGGGGTAACCCCGCTACAAGTGTCCCAAAATATAAACTGCAGTCACCGCCGATTGTAACAGCAGGAGTTGGCAATTAAGGACAAAAAAAGAACATTGAAAAATTATAAAAATAATACTAATCGTAAACAAATTGGGACTGGTCAGTCGTTGTCCTATCATATTGATGGTATCTCATAGTAGTGACCCTTCTGGTGGGAAATGGAGGGGCGGGGGGRGGGATGGAGGGATTTGTGTTATCTGTTTCATTCAGGAATCATGATTCAAAGTTTGAACTCATGACCTGTTTATTCACAGTTATCGTTTGTATTTTTCGATTGCTGGTGTTGTCTTACGCAATACAAAAAGGATACAAATTTCTCAAAAACATTGTGCACTTTGGTTTTGAAAAAAATATAGGCAACGGAAGGTTGTGTTGTTTACAGAGTATCCGGAAAAAAAGGAAAAAAATTCAAAAAAAGGAAAAAAAGGAAATTCGTGGACCTGCTTTTCGATACATGCGTAATATTGCGTGTATGTGTGTAGTAAGCACTGTGTACAATTCAGCCACATCGGCTGGGAAGGATTTATATTTCACATCATTTTTGAATCCGCCAATTCTTTTGGTCATTTTTTGATGTTTTGACGAAGTTTTTGGAACGACTAGAAATGTATGATTGCGTCGAACTTTGCCACAGTTTTGCCAGCCCTACCGTTCAACCGACAAAGTTTTTTTTAACGGTTAGAAATGTCATATCTACATTTATGTTTGCGACAGTTCGCCAGCATTTGACTGACAAAAGTTTTTGGAACGGTTATTAAAAAAAAAAAGAAAAAAAAACTTTGCGACAGTTCGGCACCATTCAACACCCCATCACCTCTGCTTGCCTTGTTTTTTTTTTTTTTTGTTGTTGCCAACTTTGGTGACTGCATATTGAGTGTGGTTGTGCTTACTCTTTGCCCTGCCCTTGCCCCCGTTTTCTGTTGTGCAGGGAGAGACCAAAGATGTGCTCTTCTTGTCCACCGAGCGGTTCAAGTTTTGCGTACTGGAATATGATTTAGAAACGAAGGAGCTCAACACCAGGTAACTGAACTAGTAGTGTAGGATGAGGAAGGGGGGGGGGGGAGGAGGAGGAGGAGGAGGAGGAAGAGGGGAAGGAGGAGAAGGAGGGTACTGTGGCTGGTTTGGCTATGATGACTAGCTAGTGGTCTAATTGGTGGTGCCCCATATAGCTGAGACCTACGTGACTTTTGTTTAGGTGACGGGGATGGATGACATGGTTATAGTGTACGTGGGCTGATAACGACGTTGTCGAAATTTGCCAAATGCCCTTTGCGTATTCGTTACCAGGATTCCTCTTTGCGCCTGGGTTTACCAACCTTAAACCCTTTTTTAAAAAAAGAAGAAAAAAGAAACTTTGAAAATAAAAAAGAAGGGAAAGAAAAAGTAATGAAGTATGTCTGAGTGAGCACTCGTCACAGGGATGTCGATGCTTTGCTCGGTGACATTATGTCTGTGCTACCGATTGCAAAACTCTTTAAAAAAACAAGCCCGACCCCTCGCTGAGGGCCAGAGGCAGGGATGGGATGAAACGGCGACGGAGGGCAATGTCATGCGGAGCGGGTGGTATAGGCCTTTTTCAGGCTTTTTGTTTTTTCCAAAAAAAAGCAAAACCCTAAACACAAAAAAAAAAACGCAAACCCTAAACCCAATGCGCAAGCTACCAACAGGCCCAGCTCAGTTGGTAGACCCCTCAACTGGTGAAATGCGGACCAGGTGCGGAGTTCAAACTCAACTTGAAGCAGATGAGTCAAATACTAGAATTCCGAATTACCTGGGTCCAGTCAGTTCGATGATCATATCACAAGGCTGTCAGACAAAAAATAATTGGTGGTGTATCTTTCCATGTTTTACAGGAGGATTCATTCTCATGTTGGACTTCTGGTGAGTGGCTCCACGTACACAAAAGAAATGAGAAAATGAATGCTCCGCTATAACATGGAAAGATACCCCGCCAATTTTTTTCTTTTGTGCATGTGGAGAGTTGTGGAGCAAGGCCCTGACCCCGCCACTGGCCGAATGTCCAACATGAGAATGAATCCTCCTCTGGAACATGGAAAGATACACCGCCAATTTTTTTTGCCTTTTGTGCATGTGGAGAGTTGTGGAGCAAGGCTGCGACCAAATGTTTAACACGAAAATGAATCCTCCTCTAGGACATGGGAAAATTGTTCATGTGGAGAGTTGTGCAGCGAGGCCCTGGCGCCGCCACTCACCAAATGTCTGTCCGGCATGAGAATGAATCGTCCTCTAGAACATGGAAAGATACACTGCCAATTTTCTTTTTGGTCTTTTGTGCATGTGGAGAGTCGTGGAGCTAATCCCAAGAGGATGAAAGGACAAAAAAAAAGGGCAAAGTGCAGAGTACTCCCGCCCCCTATGTACTTGTTTTCGAACATACGGTGAGAGATTCGTAAACACGGCAGGCGATGCGGGGCCTTGCGGGCCACCCAACGACGCGGGGCCAAGAGGGAAACGCCGTTTTCCCAAGAGTCGGAGCCGGGCCTTGCCGGAGCCTCATGCGAGACGGGCTTACACTTTAATAAGAGTAAAGAAAAAAAGAAAAATTTGAAAGGGAAAAGAAGAGAAAGAACTACCTTGATGTGAGCACTACTCACAAAGGTATGGAGGCCTCGGTCTGTGACATCACATGTGATGAAACTATTTTCTTAGAGAACTTATTAGGCCCCCTATACTGCGAGTCCGTTTCTAGACACAACCACCACTACCTGTCCAGTACATCGGCCGCTGGAGGGCCGACTCATTTAGGAGGCCGAAACTTTTGCCAATTGCACGATTTGCCGAGTGCGAGTAGAAAAGGCAAGATATTCATGTGCATAAGCTTCGTACTGAAGTTTTTTGTGTTCGCTTGATCTTGTCGAGAGCGATCGGAGATCTCTCAGACAAGATTGGAAGTGGAAATGATGAGATATTCATGTGCGTAAGCTTCGTGCTGAATTTTTTTTTTCTCTCCTTTCGTCACTTGTGCAGAGCGATGGGAGATGTCTCAGACAAGATCGGAAGACCAACAGATACTGGCCATGTGAGCAACCTTTTTTTCCTGTCGCGTCCCTGCAATAGCAAGTGCTTGTGCATCTGCTTTGGCCACATTTCACATCTTCTGTCCATCTGACGAACAACCTTCCTTACCCTCCACACACACACACATGATACCCGTTTTTCTTTTGCTCTTTTAAAGGCCATTATCAGTGTTTCGAACAGTTTCCTGGTTGTTGGTTTGGGTTTGGTAGTACCACACACGCACACAGACACACAGACACACAGACACACAGACACACAGACACACAGACACACACACACACACACACACACACACACACATGACACCCCTTTTTTTTTTTTGCTTTTTTAAAGGCCATTTCAGGCCGAGAAGCTGAAATGTTTTGAAGGGCTTGATATAAATTGGGAGGTGCACGATGTTGGCTCATTTACTAGTTATGCCAGTAGTGCACAGTTACATAAAAAAACAGACAGATACATCAAAGAGCCTGGCAGTGCCTGTGTATGAGCTCTTCGGTGAAATGGGTGGGGCAATTTGAAACTGTCAAAGTGTGGCTTTTTCTATGAGCGGTGGCTGAAATGGCCGTCTTGACTGAAAGCTGTCGAAAGGTGGAAGATGCTTTTTGCTTGAATGTCTCCGACGGTTGCAATATAAAAGGGAGGGAGAATGAATAAAGGGGCGTGGAACAAATGCGGGTGTAGTTAGCGGCAGGTAAGGAGTAGCAGTATCTCTACGCTATTAAAATTGCAAAGGGAAGCAATCTCTGATCCTGGCCGTCGTCGGTCCTACTGGCCCATGGCCTGGATCATCGGAAACATGTAATAAATCTGAAATCCTGGCCGTCGAGTCCTATCGGATCGGGGGGCCAGATTGGCGTGCGGTCTTAAGATCTTAAGATCGCACGTCAATCCAGGCTGTCCGGTCCTACCGGACTAACGGTCTTGATTGATGTGGTCTTAAGATCCCGCGCCAATCCAGTCCGTCGGGCCGATACCATGGGCCAAACAACCCAGATCTCATGCGACCGAGGGTAACTCGGTTCTGTCTAGTTGCAACGCGATGTACCTACGCGATCTAACTACCTGCCCGAACATATGTCCTTCAGCATGTGTCGTGTGTCGTACTACGCGACGTACCTACTTGCCCTGCACGACCTACATGTCCTCCCCGACCTAGTTATCATACCGAATAGCTACTCTCTCTCTCTCTCCGTCTCTCTGTGCGTGCTGCGTGGTGCTATGTACTTCGTGCTCATCAGTTGAGCTACGTGTGAGGTGCTTTGGTCATTGGTGGACTGTGGTTCGCCCTTCGCTGTGATTGGATTGTGGTGCGCCCTGTGATTGGCATGCATTGGAG